AGAGATTGCCCGGGAGGATGGTTATTTTTGGGGAACTTCAGGTGGGAGTCTTAAGAATTTTTTTGTCATTTAAAGATTTCACCTGCCCCCCACCCCCTCTGCCATACATTATGAACGCAGCCTAAATGCATTAGAATGGGCTTCCCAATCACACGCGCAGAATCGTACGATTTGCGGTCGCGCAAAAATAGAGTCATGGAAGACGTCAATCGAAGTGTTTCCATAACATCAGAAAAACATGAAAAGGGCAAGTGCCTATGTGGAATGTCATAGAAACCGGACCAACACGCAGGGTCTTAAAATAACTGAGGGTTAGACCTTCACGTCTCGGATGATCACGTTAATGGMGGTCCCGTCCCTAATTAACTAGAGACGTTAACAGAAGACCACAAGTTTATCATTTGAATTACTGTCAAGTGTTATCCTCTATAAACAAAGTTAATTTATTTTTATTTTATTTTAAACGCCTTGGTAACGTCCTAAAAAACCCTAATTGTTACAAAGTTTTGTTGGTCTACCTTCTACTGAACTTACTACTTTAAAAAATTGTGGAATTTCTTACAAAGTTTCTTCACGGATGTACGCACTCTAATTAACTACTTTAGATTTAGCCAAGATATGCAGATGATGGCTTTTATCTGAATCACTTCCGATTCCGTCACAACCGTGCTATTCATTTTTACAATGCCTCATTAAACATGTATTTTACTAACATTCATCTTTGAATACACTTGTACATGCATGCGTGAGTATGTATATCAGAAACCTGCATAAATAATGTCCTTATGTAGTGCTAAGTTTCAATGCGGAACAGTCGAAGCAAGTAAATGGCTCTTTGATATACTAGCTTTAGATTAACCTCAGGAAATAATGGCCCTTGATTACAACAACATAGCTACAGTTGTGGGAGCAGAGAGCTTCCAAGAAGCGGCTATAATCTTAGAAGGTCCTCCTATCGAGATATTCGCCCAAAGAGCAGCACCAACAGTAGTATTCAAACCTCTACGACAAACCAGGGGAAGGTTTTACTATGAATGCAAAACAGCCACAGCAGGATACATGCAACTGGGCTGGGCTGATGAAGATTTCCAAGCCATCGCCGAGCAAGGGAAAGGTTGTGGTGATGATGCACATTCTTGGGCATACGATGGCAAACGATGCTTAAAATGGCATGAAAATAAGAAAGAAAAGTACGGTGAAGCATGGAGCGCTGGCGACGTTATCGGAATCGCGATAGATATAGACCAACGTCAAATAATGTTCTCGCTTAATGGCAAGGACTATGGAAAGGCTTTCGAAAATATTTCCATCAGTGGAGGTATTTATCCTTGCATGTCACTTGCTCGAGGAGAGAGAGTTCAAATATTCCTAGGAAACGAATCTGACCCATTTAATCATCAGCCTCCTGCCAGCTTCCTGCCTCTGACCATCGCCTTTCCTCCAGAGGTCATCAAAGAGGATCCTTACAACAAGTTCTCCAGCATTGCTAAAGTGATCAACATGGGACTTTCAGAGCACAGTTTTAGTGTGTCATTCCCAGGTGAGATGATGGTAACGATGATGAGACGTGGCCTAGACTACGAAGCCAAAAAGAACGCGCTGATTCACGGGGGCTACGAGGCGACCTTGAAAAAATGGCAACAAATCAAAGACACTTTGGGAAACATTGATAACATTGGCTTAACAAATGATGAGATATATGTAGTTATATGCTATACTCTTGAAAAGCCTCCAGTTTATCGATACTTTAATGGAGACTCAAGAAAAGGCTATGGCGGTGATGGAATGGATTTCCCTATTTTGACTTACTTGCTCCGAGAAGCTTGCAGAAAAATTTTGGCAGCGACGCCGAAGCAAGAACGCACAAAAATCGTATACAGAGGAGTTTCTGTCCCGTTTGCTGCTGAAGTTGGGCAGAAAGTACGCTTTGGGTCATACACGTCCACAACAGCCAATAGGCAAGTTGCAGACGAGTTTAGGAAGACTTCTGAGGGAACACAATTCGTCATTGTGACCAAGATCGGAGCTCCTATCAAGATGTTTTCGGCTTTCCCTGAAGAGGAAGAAGTGCTTCTCCCTCCGTACGAGATATACCGAATCCACAGAATTGAAGAGTCCCCAAGTGTCATTCACTTGGCAAGCGTTTTTGAAGACGACTTTGTGGACAGATATGTTGCTGATGGTAATGCTGTGTACGAAGCAAATAATATGGCAAAAAATGCTTAATGAACACTATGGTCATTGTAGGGATAATACACATTGTGGGGACATAACATATCATGGAGAGATCATGCACACATTATGTGTACATCACATCACTCGCATTATTATGGGAAAATGGTGACATCACACATTATGGGGACATCACGCATTATGGGTAATCACACATTATGGGGACATCACACATTCAGTGGGGACATCACACATTATGGTGACATCACACATTCAGTGGGGACATCACACATTANGACATCACACATTCAGTGGGGACATCACACATTATGGTGACATCACACATTCAGTGGGGACATCACACATTAAGGGGACGTTTACCTATTATGTAATCTCCCCGCAGCAGCCCTGCAGCCGCTTTAAGTGTCGTCACGCAACACGCTACCTCCCCTTAACTTAATGGCGGGAAGGAGCGTTGCGTGAAGAAACTAAGAACGGCTGCTGGGGAAACACATTATGGTGTCATCACACATTATGGAGACATTACGCATTGTACGGACATCACATTTTTTATGAGGACATCACACAGAGTGAAGGCATTTAACCCGTGGAATAAAAAATGCCAATCAACGTGTAATAGTCAAATAGACACAAACGAAAACAATGGAATTAGGGTCTACTAATGTTTATTAGTCTAATATTAATTTCACAGGTTTAGTGACTTCACTATATTACGCTAACACTTATTTCACGGGTTTATAAAAATCACTCTAAATTCATTTCATTAATTAAAATTCAGGCATCAAGGGCGGATCCAGGGGGGGGGCAAAGGGGAGCTGAAGCCCCCCCCTTCAGCAGAAAAAAACGATGCTTTTTTATATTGTTTTCCGTCGTGTTGACGGAAGAAACTCAATTAGCCCCCCCCCCCCCCCCTAAAATTTTGGCTGGATCCTCCCTTGGGCATAATATTATGTACGCCGCCATCTTTGATATTTACTTGAGCCCACGCTATTTTTCGCGGATAACCGTATTCGTCAGCATACGTCATTACCACAGGAAGACCAATCAACAAATTGATGTCTGCCGTGCTCCCTTGGTCTTGACCGTGCAATATGTTTCATTTATGCTCATCCGAAATTGCAAAATAAGTAAACATAAACTTTGTTGTAAGGAACATTCAAATATCTCTTTAAAATCTTTAAGTATTTTGAACTAGCAGCCAAAAGAAAGATTTTGGTCTGTTCACTCAGCAATTGCCAACGATGGTAAAACAATGGTAAAGCAAAGGATTGTGCAGGGTCACGCTTGAAAAAAGTGAACAATAACCTATAACAATAGAGTTTCCTAACCATTATGGGTAGCATGGGTGGCGTTCGCGGCTAGCGCGTCGTCTTTCACCGCTGTGAGTCCAACAGGTCGGGTCGCTGGTTCGAGCCCTGCGGTCGCCACATGTGAATTGAGTTTGTTTGATGTGTTGTTCTCTCCTATGCTACGAGGGTTTTCTCCGGGTTCTCCGGTTTCCTCCCTCCATAAAAATCAACATGTGAGTTGTGTGCATAGAACATTAAATGTAGTGGTAGTGCGTGTGAGTGAAAAGTGTCCCCAATTAGTGTGAAAGCGCTAGAACGACTAGACACTTAAATAAAAGTGATTTATTTATTTTATTTATTTCCCCCTCTATTAACTATGGTTTGCGTTTAGCCTACTTTCACAATGAAATAAAGTCTCTTGGCTTGCGTCGCTATTGGAGCTTCTGGAATTACAGAACGCCTTGTACCATGGGGCTGCTTTAGTGGACTCTAATATTATTGTAATGACATATGGTGCTTTTTCCGATTGGTGATAGAGAAGATTGAGTGTTAAAAGTGAAAAGGAATCCTTGATTGACGTGTTTTAAAATTGTTAACTCACAGTAGTATACATGTTTATACTACGCTGTTTCCACGGTGAAGTTTGAAAGCATGAAGAAAATTATACATGGCTAGAGATGTCTTGCCCTTTGATCACAATTTATTTAAAGTTATCGATTTTTTTATTGAAGTTTTGGCTTCCGTGCCTTCTTGCGCAAACTCATTAAATCTGAGATGATATTTCTATTTAAGACAGAAGACACAGTGAACAGCCCAGCGAACATGGCCCCGGCAAAACCACAGGTCAGAACATCTTGTCCAGTCAGGTACAATCCAGGAATACCCGTTTCTGGACGGAGGTTGATGCAGGTCTCGGGGCTAAAGCGATCCTTGTTGTGATCTATGCCATACATCTCCCCACGAGGGGACGCGATGTAATACTGATTGGACAATGGCGACCCAGCATCAAAGAACTCCTCCTTGTCTTCCAGCTGAGGGAAATAGCGGCACGTTTGCTGCCACATACGTCGGGCAATGCGAAGCTTCAACTCTTCGTATTCTTCCCCTCTTTTCATGACCCTCATCTCTTCCCACTTTTCAAACCATTCGAATGGTGCAAACGAGACGATAGTACAAGTGGATTTTCCTGGGAATCGCTTCTCCCATTCCGGGTCTTTAGTGGATGGAAATGAAATAAAGAGAAGAGGGATGTCATGATTGCCTGCTTCTTCTGGACTCATTTTCAGGTATTCCTCGGTGATTTCGTCGCAGTTGTTGCCAGTGAAGGCCCAGACGTTACTTGCTTTGATTCCAAGTTCCTCCTTCGTTCCTTTCAGTCCGATATAAACAGACATTGCACCGACGCCATGCCTGACTCCTTTGGTCTTGGGGAGGATATCATTTAATGGAGAAACACTGGGTGGCAGGAGTTTTTCGTAAGTGTTGTAGAAACCAGCAGCAGAAATAACAAGAGGGGCGAGAATGTCAACATCACCACTGCTTTTAGACACACGTACACCTGGTCAAGATTAAGATGAAAATTAGACGAATAAATGAATAATAACGTTGGCTTTTTCGAAAACAAAGGAACGTAAATTTTGCTGAACAGTGGCTTTGTTTTTGATGCAGTACATCTCTTATTATACTCTTTTAAAGCTATCTCTTTATCATAATGTCGTATTATTAATGTTATGAAATGTTTTAGATATCCAAAAGTAATAATTCATAGTTTTTGCGACGTACCTTTTACATGGCCCAAAGGATTCAAGAGTACCTTGTCCACCTTGGCCCTGACCAAAACAGTACTGCCCCTTTTTTCCAAAGCTTGTGTGATGTGGAGTGCAATCTCGCTGGCACCACCACGGGGATAAGAGGCACCATGCATGAAATGGTTGATAAGAATGGCGTGCATGGCAAAACTGGCTTCTTTTGGGATAGTGCCTGGCAACGGAAGGGGAAGAAATGAATAATAAAATAGGAAGGAAGGAAGGAAGGAAGGAAGGAAGGAAGATTGCCAGGTAGGTTACTTTATTTTGACACGGTAAAAACATCAGTTATACATACATACATACATATATATATATATATATATATATATATATCATGTATACAATGTGGACCATGAAAGGCAAAGGCACGTTTCTAATTGCTCTCTGGATTTCAAGCTTTTTCTACCCCTACGTTGTTCTATACAACGCTAGAAGCAACCAAAGATTAAATAATACTACCGGGACTCTTCCAGGATCAAATATTATTGGAGAAAATGAAATAGTGATTGGC